AGGCTGGGCCTGTGGAGCCACTCTTTCTCCCCTGCATCACATGTAGGCCTCGATCAAGAGCCCCGAGGTGGGCCCGGGCTGTCACGTGCCTCTCCAGGCCCCGCACACGAGGCCAGGAGGGAGCAGAGTGGGCGCCTCCACGGCCATGTTCGCCTGCCAGCATCGCTGAGCGCACCACCACTTCAAACTGAAGAGGCCTCTCTCTGATTGAACTTGAAACCAAACCATCATGTTCTCGAGCCTAAATGTACCCGGGTGTGCTTCTCATTTCCCTCCATCCTCCGCCCCCGGGGCCCCCTCCCCTGGGCAGAAAAAAAGAGAATCTCTCTCTAAAGATGAACTTGAGCTTGGGGAAAGAATCGGAATGGTGGCAGCTATGCATCTCTGGGGGTTTGCATGAAGCCCTCACTGCCCCAGGGTGGCTGAACTGCACCCCCCTCCAACCAGAGGAGAGCAGGGCCCTGGGGTGCCCTCTCTCCTCCTGCCCTGCTCACTTTCCCCACTGCAATTGGCCAAGCAGAGAGCCCGTGCATGGATTCCAGCAGACTCCAGTTGGAATCCCAGTGCCGCTACCCGTTAGCTGCACACCTGCGTTAGGGTCTTTGAGCCTCAGTGTGCTCATCTCTGAAATGGGCCTTGCACTCCCAGCACAGCCCAGCCATGAGGAGGCCCAGCTCTGTGGGCTTAACCTGGAGTCTAAATCTGAGGGTGCAGTCAGGGGAGGCAGAAAAGGCAGCTCCCGCTTACCTATAAGCCCCCTGACCCAGGGCTTGTGGCCTCGTGGTGGGAGATCCCTGCCCCGCTGTCTCTGGGACATTTCTGGAACTCTCACCAGTCCACCTGAGTCTTTGGGCACTGGTTCCGCCTTGTCAAATGAGCAGCTCCTTTGGGAAAAGCTCCATCTCCAGCAGGGCCAGGGGAGCTGTGTCTTCTCTTGGAGGAGGATGCATGGTGCCTGGTGTTTGGGAGGGCAGAAGGGCGAACAAAGACTCCTGTGAGTCCTTGCAGGGCCTCAGGTTCCCTGACTGTATAACGTCCCACTAGGATTGGGGGTATAGTCGCCTCCCAAAACTGCCACCCAGTCTGGGCAGAAACAAAGCCCCAGGCTAGGAGATTCTCAAAGTGGGGGGTGCAGAGCAGGATGTCAAGGTGGGGGTGAAGCACCCCCAGCCGCCTTCCCCTGCTGTGCACGCCCAAGACTAGCTGGTCCCCCGGGCTTCTCCAGCTGGAACCTGCTGGGCTTCCCTGATCAGCGATTCTGTCTTTAATCAAGGGCCAAGAGGTCTGGCGCAGGCTGAGGGGTGGGTGGTGTTGGTGTTTGGAGAGGGAGGAGGGGGAGAGGAGGAGGGGGGAGGGAGAAGGGCTGGAGATAACCTGTCTTTGGTTCCCTCAGAAAATTCCACCCCTCACCAGCTCCCTTGCTGCCGGTGGAGTGAAGCCCAGGGAGCTGGCCTCTGAGCAGAATGAACAGAGGACCACTTTCCGGCTCCTGCTCGCTGGGGGCTGGGGCGGCAGGCAGAGCCAGCGGGCTTGGCGGAGGGATGGGGCCCAGCTTGAAGCCCGGGCCCTGTGTTCCCATCTAACTCCACAGCTGGCAGAGGTCTCTGCTACCTGTGTGACCACCTGCCGTGCGCCACGCTGTGATGACCTGGGGGCCAAGCATTTCCGACCGGGGCTGCCGGCTTCCTCTGTGTCCCAGTGGCCTGTCCCTCGGAGAGGAAGACAGAAGGGGAGAGAAGGGGAGAGAGGAGGGGAGGGATGCACAGATAGAGGGGGCTGTCCTGACTCCTCCAGCCCTTCGCTCCCCAGCCCCCAGGGTCCGCTTGCAAACAGCAGACGGTGGTGGTGGCCGACTTCTCCCCAAGGGACCTGGTTGGCATTTTCCTGCTTTCTGTGCAGCCTGTGACAGTCACCAACCTCCTCTCCCCACAGCTCCTAAGCTACCCTGTCTCAGTGTCTGCTTGCTGAAAAGAAACCTTAGTCTCCTGAATTTACAAACGCTGTATTATTGAGACCAGAGCAAACTGACAGAAAGCTCCAGGCTTACAGGTCCTGTTAGGCAAGACGCCCTCCCTGCAGCAGCCCTGCAGGCGCTCTGGAAGAGGGCTGGATCCAAAGGCCCCTGCCCCGACTCCAGCTCTCTCTAGCCCACTTGGTGGAGGCCTGGGGGCAGCTGTTGGAGGGACAGCAGGAGGGGGCCAGGCCTTGTAAGTGCAGTGGTTTTCTACTGAAGAAAACCTGAGCTCCCATTGGGGACAGGTGGGCATCCCTGTTTTTAGACAAGGAAATGGCGGCAAGGGGAAGTGACTGGCCCAGGGCCCTCAGGAGTTAGGGGATGGAGCTGGGCTTAGCCAGCAGGTGCCAGCAGGCTCAGGGAGTGTGCTCTTTCAGCCTAAGCCCGTGACATTTGGACACAGACACCCTTGGGTGAGCCTGCCCTCCACAGGCCTTCCCTCCCTTTCCCAAACTGGGGAGGGCAGCGGTGGGAAGGGACCCTGGTGGGGAAGAGATGGGGTCTAGACAGGGGCACACTGGATGGCCGCTGGTGGGGGGCTCCCCTTGGCACTCCATGTGGTCCACACCACACCTCATGACTTGGGCTGGAGCAGGGGATCCCTCGCCCTGGGCCTCTCTGCCCCAAGATCCCTGTCCCTCCTTAGCATCTGGCTGAGAACGCAGCCCATTTCTATCCACTGGGTAGGATAATTTTGGAGGCTGAGGTCAGGGTCCTTGGAGGGAAGAGAGGAGGGGGTTGGAAAAGTCGGGGGGGCGGAATCCTTGCAGAGGACAGTTGGGCCTCCGGCCTGGGCCTGCGGCCACTCTCCTTGCAGCCCCGGGGCCTTGGGCAAAAGACCTTCCATCTCAGGCTCAGTTTCCTCCTTGAGAAAGAGTCTGTGGAAGACAGTGGGTTATTGGAAAGATGGGGCATGGCGGGGGGGGGGGCGGTGATCAGGGGTAGCTACCGAGTGGCTGCTCCTTCCAGCCAGTCGCCAAAGCCATTCCCAACGGCCCCCCCTTCTGGGTCTTCTGCAGCGAACAGCAGGGAAGGGGCACCTTCCACAAAGGGGTGAAGGCTTCCATGCAGCCTTCGCAGAGCCCACCCAGAGCAGTTTCGGGGTCTCCTCCCAGTCACGTGCCCTCCTGTGGCCGCCTTCCAGATTTCAAACTTAGAGCCTTAGGGTCAGCATGCCTGGGGGCTCCCCCAGGCCTGATGTCCCACACCCATCCTAAGGACAGTGTGTCCTCAAACCTGCCAGGGCCTGGCGAGATAGCCCGAGGGCCAAGGCCCCCCATCCCAAGTTTAAAGAGGCAGAGATCACCCCCCCGCCAGCACTGTGGGAAAGCAGAGGTCATGGAATGGGTGGGCACCCACTCCCTGCACCTAGGACCTAGATACACACTAATCTATGCAAATGGAGCATACACAAATGACCCATCTAAAGGTCATAACCGGAGGTACCCTTCCCCAGGAGGTTAAACACCTTTAATCCCCTTCCACCGCCCCCACCCCACCTATGGCTCCTTCTCCATTTTCTGGAGCCTTCCTGATCTGACCGACAGGGTGGCGGAAGGCTGCCAGGCAGAGTGTGGGGCTCTAAGCCCAGGTGGGGGGCTTTCCCCGGAGCTCTTTGGAGGGGGAGGGTCTCTGGCAGGGTCAGCATCCCCCACTTCCATGCCCCTGTGCCCCTGCTGGAAGCCTCCCGGTGTGTCTGGAATATGTGCTGAGTGCCTGGTGTGCAACTGTGCGTGTGAGTGTGAGCACATTGCGAGCTTGCCCACACGTGTCACTGCGGGCAAAGGTGGATGGGATCAGGGGTATGTGTGTGTTGGGTGACTGTGTATGTGTGTTTGTATATGTATATGAGCGTGTAACCAAGAGCCTGTGATCTGTGAGTTCTGGGGACTGGGTATGTGACTACACATATGTGGACGAGAGTCCGGGTTCATGTTTTAGCATGATCAAGGCCCTGACTGTGTGTGCCGGCGTGTGGGTGGGTGGGTGGATGCGACTGAACGTGTGCAGGCGGGTTTGTATGTTTATAAGTGTATTCTCACGTTCAGGTGTGCCGGTGGCTCTGCACATGCCTCTGTGTGGACCTGGGCACATGATGAAGGATGCCTGGCGTTTCATAACTGTCTGCTCGCCTCTGCCTGCGTATGACCAAGCATGTGGCACTCCAACTGCTTCTATAACGTGCGACTGTGTTGCAGTGTGTGTGTATTGTAGGGTGTGCCTGGGTCGCAGTGTGTGTGTTGCTATAAGTGTGTCTGCGTTTTCCTGCGTCTTTATGGCTGCGATATGGATGCATAAGGCTTTTCACAAGTGTTTTTCTGGGTGCGTGTGTGATTACGTGCGTATTCTACGTCTTTCGAGTGTGGAATTGTGTTTTTCTGAGTGCGTGACCCATGGCACATGTGCTCAGGACCTTGGCCATAAGTGTTTTGGTGTTTCTGTGAGCATTTCTGTATTCCGAGCGTGTCCTCGCGTCTTCCTGGGGTCTGCGGCCCAGCGGGTGTTCGGTTCATGCGACTTGTCCTAAGCCGGCCCGGGTGTGCGCGCCCGTGTGCCGTCCTGTGTGCGGAGCGTGTGCTAACCGCGCGCGGGGTACCTGTGCCCGTCTATCCAAGAGTGCGCCGCGTGCGCGAGCGGGTTTCCGGGCCGCCGCAGTGGTAGGGGGCGGCCGCGTGAGGGGCGGGGGTCACCGGGACTGGCCGGCGCCGGCCCCGT